AGCTACAAAGCAGCAGCGCGCTCAACCCCAAGACACTGTATCTTGCCATCTTCCCGAGTCCTGAGACTCAGGTTTGTAGGAGCGAGGTGGGGGGACTTAGAACCTGGCCCAAAGCCACAGGTATTTTGCAAGGAAACTCAGCTTCTCAGACCTGGCTTACTTAGGCTGACATAGGCTCCCATTCCCTCTCGTCATTACATTTGGGGTAAAACTCGGTTGGTATCACCAAGGTTTAGTTTCTCTGTTTCCCTCTCTCTCTCTTTTCTTCTCAGTTACACAGCACGGTATCACGACCCAAATCTTTAGCATCTGAACCATACAGCTGAACTCTCTGAAACCGAAAGAGCAGGGGCAGGCTGTGGAGATGCAAGTCAGGCTGCGGTCACCAGGTCGCAGAGAAGTCTCAACTGCCTGGGGCTGCTGACCTGGATGGAAGCTCCCTAGGGACATCCCTTCCCCACACCCCCATACCTTTATTTAACACAATTTAGGTTTGTTTTATGATCCCTTGAAGTATCTGCTTCCACTTGGGTTTGTAGGTACTATTAGAGAACACTATTTTAACTCCTTGAATTGACACCAAGAAGCTGAGGTCCTATTTATTTCACCCCCTGTGAGAGACTGTCTTCTCAGCATGGGTTCTCAGGAGCATCTAAATCAGGCAATCAAGTTAGATAAGTAATATGTAATTTTCTTATTATGTTATTATTTATTTGCTGTGTGTGTGTGTTTTGAGGAGTAGGAACATGTGTCTCACAATGGATACACAAAAGTCAGAGGACAAGTCAGGCAACGGTGGCACATGCCTTTAATCCCAGCACTCAGGAAGCAGAGGCAGGTGGATCTCTGTGAGTTTGAGGCCAGCCTGGTCTACAAGAGCTAGTTCCAGGACAGGCTCCAAAGCTACAGAGAAACCCTGTCTTGAAAAACCGAAAAAAAGAAAAAAGAAAAGAAAGAAAGAAAGAAAGAAAGAAAGAAAGAAAGAAAGAAAGAAAGAAAAAAAGAAATTCAGCGGACAACTTGCAGAAGTCAGTTCTCTCCTACTGTGTGGATCCCAGGGACTGAACTCAGGTCGCCAAACTTGGAGGCAAGCACCCTTACACGCTGAGCAGTCTGGCTGGGGAGCAAAGCCAGGATTCTGAGTATGCTAGGCAAACAGTCTAACACTGAACTGTGTGCTCAACCACACTAGATTTTAAGTGGAGCAAATACTAAAACTTAGAACAACAAAATTAAAATAATCTATAACCCTACTACCCAGTGACTGATATTTTCCTATTTTTTTCAGTATTAATTGTTATTAAAGGGTAACCTACTTACATTTCAGATTTGGGGGGAGCAGGAAGATAAGTTCTTTGTAATCTTTCAACCTTAGGTAGTATTAGATAAATAAATATATCCATAAAGTATGAATGCATATATGTGAAATATAATTGCGATATACATTATTGAGGTATATTAGAATATAAATAAGATTTTATGCACACTCATATTTGACCTGTCTCAATTGTTACTACAGTAGTTGCAATGTAACAAACTCCACCCACCTGTAATCCCTGCACTCAGAGGAGAATTATAATTCAGGGCTAGCCAGCTACAGTAGCAAGACCCTATCAAAACAAAAGACCAGGGATGAGGTGCAAGGCTTTAATCCCAGTACTTGAGAGGCAGAATCAGAGGCAGACAGAAAAGCAATGGTAGGCAGATGTCTGTGAGTAGAGGCTGGACAGGCCTCCATTCAGAGTTCCGGCAAGGGCTGCAAGAAAAGACTGCCTCACACAAACAAAAACAACCTGCCTCACACTCATTATCTGAAGCTTGAAGTTGTTTATTCTGACTCTTTAGCAAGCTGGGCTCTGCTAAGTGGCTCTGGGTTACAGTCTTTTCTACCATGGGCAAAACTCAGATCTGTTCTGAGAACAAGGTTATCTAGTCGTCCCTTGGCTCTAGCCAAGAGGTACAAGGAGCAAAGCACAAACAAACCTACCCAAGCCTCTGTTTGTACTTTTGTCTTGTTTGCACTAATGTCATTAGCCAACACACCTCACATGGCTAAACCCAGAGTCAAGGGGAAGGAAAGCAAGTTAGTGGCTAAGAGCAACGTTAGTGGTCCAGGGAACTAGTTGTTCTTCCTGGGGAGGCAAAGATGAAAGGAAGGGACACACACACACACACACACACACACACACACACACTTGTATGCATGTGCTTGTGCTTGGGTATGTGCGTGTGTAAGTGCAATGCCCATGGAGTCCAGGAGAGGGCAACAAATCCCCTGAAGTTAGAGTTTCAGGCAGTTGTGAATCGCCTGACGTGGGAGCTGGTACTCGAACTCAGGTCCTCTGAAAGAGCAGCAAATGCTCTTAGCCACTGAGCTATCTCTGCTGTTTCCCAAAGTAGGGGCTATTTTAAAGGCTAATATCTGAGGTGTCTGCTGAGATCCTCTCATTTGAGATTTAGGTGAAACCTCGGAACTCGCCTGACCTCTAGTTCCACGCACCCTGTCTAAGAGATCTCTGACCCGGAATTGCATTGCTGCAATTTGAAGGTCACTCGGCTGTCCCTTGTGTTGCTCCAGTTCCGCTCTCCTGTTTTTTATTTATTCCTCCCTAGAATATTTCACAGAGATGTATGCAGAAGATTTTGCTGAACATTTGGGGCAGCAAATGAGTTTTACATCTGCATTCAAACCAAATGCGTCATTCAGCCCCTCTCATTGGGACTCGATGTGAATTTAGCCCACACTCAGCCTCCCTACCCAGTGCTTGCTGGGGAATTTTCTCTGGTCTCAGGAGTTCTGATCAGCTCATCTCAGCTTTTGTGCAGCCTGGTTCAGCTTTCATACTCATTCATGGGATGTCTGTCCATTGAGAATGTGTGCCCCTCCTCACCTTGAGAAATGTTTGATTCAGGTGGGGAAATTAATCATGCCTGTTGCTATCTGGGGGCCAGATCATTCTCCTCTGCGGGGACTGTTGGTGCACTGTAAGGTGTTTGTTAGCATCTCCAGCCTCCAGTTACTAGATGTCAGGAACACCAGCGCTTGTGCCCTGGAGTTATAAACAACCAGAACAGAGATGTTGCAGCCTTCTTCCAGGAGGAAAAAAAAAATATCTCATTAGAAAATTGCTGCTAACTCAGGTGGTGGTGGTGCACGCCTTTAATCCCAGCACTCAGGAAGCAGAGACAGGTGGATCTCTGTGAGTGTGTGAGGTCAGCCTGTTCTACAAAGCAAGTTCCAGGTCAGNAAAAAAAAAAAAAAAAAAAAAAAAAAAAAAAAAAAAAAAGGAGGGAAAGGAAGAGAGAAAGGATGAGTGAATGACCAATGGATAAATGAATGAATGAATGAACTAAAAATTCAAACCAAAGCATTCAAGAGGGCCAGAAGTGTAGAGTCTTTTAGACAGAAGGTTTCTATCTCTGCATAACACACCATGACCTGGTTGCAATACGACATTGGCCCACTATTCCAATACATGCAGTGTTTTTGAACAAGGATTATGTGAGACTGTAAAACCAATGCAGTAAGAGCTAGGACAGTGATTGGGGTGGGGTGGGGAGGAACGGGTGTTGGACCTCCTGGCTTGCATTCTTGTTTCAAAGCTCTGAAATAGTTACTGAACCATACAAGTCCTTGATGATCTCATCTCTCAAATGAAGTTCTCTACTCATAAAAGTTATTGAGAAGGTTATATGAAATAACCCACATGTATTGGTAAGGGTTCTCTAGAGTAACAGAAGTTATATATTCATTTATAGATAAAGGGAATCTATGGGAATGAATTATAGGTTGCAGTCTAGCTAATCAGTGGTTGGCTGTAAATGGAAAGTCCAAGAATCCAGTAGTTGCTTAGTCCACCAAGCTAGAGATCTCAACTAGTCGTCAGCAAATGTTGGAGTCCCGAAGAAGTAGGCTCTAACGCCAGTGAAGGAACGGATGTGCTAGCAAGGAAAAGTAGGCAAAGATCGAAAGCTTCCTTCTTCTGTGTCCTTATATAGACTTCCAGAAGAAGGTATGGTGCAGACTAAGGGTGTGTCTTCCCTGCTCAAGATCCAGACCAAAGGTGTGTGTCTTCCTGCCTCAAAGGTCCAGACTAGAAATGGATTCACCCACTTCAAACCAAGCAAAAAAATCTCTCCCAGGGGTGCCCTCCATTCCTGGCTTGCAGTTCATCCCAGATGTAGTCAAGTTGACAACCGAGAATAACCATCACACCATGTGAATTGGTTCTTGGAACAGGGAACAAGGACTCATCATCATTCCTGTCATTATATTGGGAGAATACAAATGATGGGCTTTACCCATAGCTGCTCTGTGGAATAGTCTGTCGTTATATTGGAAGAATGCAAATGATGAGCTTTACGCATAGCTGCTCTGTGGAATAGTCTCAGAGTCTCGTAGCAATACTAAAAGTTCCCGTCTTGAAACTATACAGAATAGTTGTATCACCTAAGAAACTGTCCAGAAACTTGGGGGCAGTTGCGTCTGTCCCATCCATTGTGTCTGGTTTGGGCAGTAGAGGTCCGAGAGGGAGAGACAGTAACTTCAAGGTTCTGGTCACCAACCACTTCGTAGCAGTATATTTCCTTTGAGGAACACTAGCCTTTTGGCCATCTAAAGAAAAGAGGCATTCTTCTGAAATCTGAAATAGCTAGGAGAATCTGAAGCTATTTCCTTCCGATTGTATGCCCAGAGCTATGTGAACCCAGTCTACCTCTGAATAAGAAATATACACATCACCGGGGCAATGGACAGACACCAAACATGTTGCAGAGTGGTGGCCATGAAGCAATGGAGGCATGCCTTGGTTATTTCTCTTTGGTCAATGTCTTCCTGGCAGCAGAGCTACAGGATACTCCGTAATGGAAAAACCTTGGCCTGGTTTTTCAGGGTTGTGAGCAGTGGGAGCCACAGGCTGCTCAGCAGGAAGGTGGCTGCTTCCTTGCCACTGGACGGCAGGATGATAAAGCATCTTGTTCTCTGTTTGTGTGTCTTCCAGGCTGGAGCAGGAAATACAAGCGCTCGAAAGTGAAGAGTCCCAGATATCTGCCAAAGAGCAGCTCATCCTCGAGAAACTGAAGGAGACAGAGAAATCCTTCCAGGACTTGCAGAAGGTGAGGAAAGAAAAACACCGTTTCTCTAAATCACAGATACAACAGTGCTTCTCAGCCTTTTTAGTGCTGCGACCCTTTAATACAGTTCCTCATGGTGTGGCGACCCTCCAGCCATAAAATCATTTCGTTGCTATTCATAACTGTAGTTTTGCTACTGTTATGGATTGTAATATAAATATCTGATATGCAATATATCTGATATGTGACCCCCCGCCAAAGGGTTCACAGCCCACAGATTGAGAACCACTGGGCCTGAGAAATCTGAACCCTATCCTGAAAAGAGCGCAGAAGTGGCAGGAGCCAGGTCCATCCCAGAAACAGAGCAGCCCATCTGCGTTGGGAGGCATGGAGACGTTTGATTAATCCTATTTGTCTGCTGATCTCCCCGCCCCTTATCTCCCAAATGTCTGAAAAGTCTTCAGATTGGCACCAGAAGTATAAATTCAGCCCCCTTTAAGCAGGTTAGATGACCCTGTGTGGGTTTAGTCAGAATTCCCTTTGAGTATTCCCTTTAGGAGAGGGCGAGAGGAGACCTGTAGCAAGTGGGCGGGAATCCCAACACACACCCTGTAAATGCATGGAATTCCCCCATGTGAAAACAAACATTTCTGTGTAGTAACACAGAGAGGCCCTGATTTCTCAAAACCCCATTTTCGGCCTCCTGCCTCTGTGATTACAGCAACAAAAAAAGCTGTATACAATTAAGTTTGGGACCGGACTTTTCTAACATAGCATTATCAACACAACTCAGGAGAGTTGCTGGATGGTTGAAATTATTATACTCAGCTGAGTAGGGCACATCCTTAACTGACCCCAGAAGAAAAGAGAAAAGCAAGCTTGGGTCTTTCCTGCTGCCTGCTGAGTTCTGGCTCTGTGTCCTGGGCTGGGGGTTGGGACACACCACACACGCACAGTGACACTCTGCCCTGCTTTTGTCTCCACAGAGTTTCTCCACGGCTGATGGAGGTAAGTGCTCTCTTCCCTGGCTGTACTCAGATGCTTCCCTCTTGGTCCACTGAGTGGGTCTCATGCATACAGGCTCACCAGGAGACAGATGTGAAGTGGCCCTTCCTAAGGGCATCCCCGGCAAGGGCGTCAAGAGGTCAATACCGCCTCTGCTTCTTGACTTGATACTTCTATTAGCACATTGGCCAGTTGTTTTTGTTTTTTTTCTTCCCCTGTTTAAGCCTCCCTAAAGACTTGCTGTTGGACTTTTATTGAAAAGGGTTGGCAAAAGAACATTCTGGAGTCAGAGCTAAGTTTCTTACAGGAACCAACCCATCCTCACAAGTCGCTAAGTCTTCAGGTCACATGAGAAGTGTCTTGGTGTTTAGGAAACCCTTCTAAGGCCTCTGGAACTTTCTTTGGAAAGGATAGAGGACCTCTTTTCCTCCATCCTATGCCAGCAGAGTCTCTCTAACCTTCCAGGGAAATTAGATGAGGCAGAATTTTCTCCCTCCCATGACATCTGACCCTGAGCCCTGGAAAGTGGACATAGGATTCTTGTACCCCTGCTCCCAGCCAGACAGAAGGGACAGGTCTTTCTCCTGTCCCCTCCTCTGCCTTCGTGGGCTGTGGGGATGAACTTGGGAATCTCTTCTGGGATTCACTGTATCCCCTGACCTCAACTACAAACTCAAAGTTGTTGTTTTCATCTTGGCCCTAATGAGATGGGCTTTGAAATGCAAGGGTGCATGGGAGCCTCAGCTGCTACCTGCTTCTCATGTGGCTCCCACATAGTCAGCCTCTAGCTCAGGAAGAGGACGAGGGGTCAGAGGTCTTGGCTTGGCATCAGAATATTTCCCATTGTCATTGAGGGAGAAAAAAAAATAGAGGATCTGGATTTCTTCTGGATCGGCCACAGACCAGGTATTTGCAGGTAGGACAGTTCTGTCTGGTACAAAAGATAGGCAATAAAATAAAATAAAACAATAGAGAAGATGTCATGAACCCCACCCCCCGGCAAGTAAAAGACCTGGATTTGAGCTCCCTCGTAGGTGATCTTTGAGAAGACACCAATGAAACCCTCTGTTCTCAGAACCTGAGGCAAGGGATGCACCAGCAGGAACTCTGGGAGAAAAGGACCAACCACATTTCTAGGAGAGAAGCCCAGCCCCCTAAGTTGTGGCTCAACTGGGGCACAGATGAAGGGGGTGGCCGCGGGCACGTGGGGCGCTGCAAAGAGAACAGGAGAGTTCACGTATCAGGGAGGTGGAATCGCCGCCAGGCCGTGCTGGGGCTGGAACATGAACCCACAGAAGCTTGCATCTGCAGAAGTCATGTTCTGTCATGCTGTGCCCCTTCCCGGTTCCTTGTACTCCGTCCTCTAACCAGGACCTTGCTTGGACTTTCCTCTGATATTCGGGGTAGAGAAGGAATCTGTATACCCTGCCCCTCAGCTGGGTGTGTCTGGCATAGATGTCTGTGTAGTCTACTACTTTAATAAGCCAAAATGGAGCCATGTTGCTATCTGTTACCCTAGTCTCTTTCCTTTGCATCCCAGAAAGCTCACTCATTTCCTCCTGCAGCCTTCCCACAGTCTTCTCTGGGCCCTACAAACACTCCCAGAGGCAGGAAGCAGCCTGGCAAAAGACTGGAAGCCCCAAGATGGGTGAACACAGGCTTAGAAGGCTATGATTCTCAGGGATCCTGGGGAGGTATTTCTGTGGTCTTCCCTGTCACCCTACGTTGTGACTCCTGACCTCTGTGTTGGTGACTTCTCCATTAGTTGTACCTACTAGCAAAAGAAGATGTCTAAGGAAGGGCACACATGCTAATAAGAATATGATCCATGCCAAGGTCATTTTATGATCTGAAAATAAAACCCCAAATGCATCCCCTTGGGGAACATCGAGAGGTCTATTTTCAAATTCTTCGTTTCAGATTCTAAATTGATGAGACCTTCTTAGAGTCAATCAACTGTTGTTATTAAGACTTAGTAAGAAATTATTCTAGAACAATGATACTGAAAGAAAAACCTCAGTTCCAACGTCATAGACAGGCTGGCCACAGAATCTAGTTCTAGCTTGGACTATGTGAACTGTGTAGTTGCTGCAGAGTGTCAGTCCCAGCATCCTCTACCTAAGAGTGCTGAGGAGGAAGGTGGGTGCATATGTGTGCTTGTGTGCATGTGTGTGTATATGCATGTGTGTTTGCAGACACACACAATGGCTTTTCTTTGGGTACCCCCTGCATATGATCCCACATGTATTAGAGGAAGTGGTAATATTGCTGTGTCTTTGATGGTGTTTGATGTCATGGAGGCCCTGCTTAGCAAGAAGGGTTCATTCCACTCTTGATTGCAATTTCCTGATAAAACTATAATGCGTCCCTCCACTCTTTAAATAGCATTGTTACCTACCAGAGCCTTCACTGTTTTTTTGTGAGTATAGATCACATATGGTATATGCTTTCTGTGTGATAAATACTGGGACCAAAAAAAATCAACTTCAAGGAAGAGTTTGTGTCAACTCACAATCCGAGGTTCAGCATAGTAGGGAAGTTAAGGCAGTAGGAATTTAAGACAGCTGGTCACATTGCACCCACAGTCATGAGTAGAGAGAAGTGGCTACGTGTCTACATATTGGAGCTCAATCGCCTCTCTTCATTTGTTGAGATTGGAGCGGCGGGGCTGCGTCCCCGGCACCCGGCCGCCCGCATGGCTAGCTTATGCCCGAAATAATTACATGGAAACTGTATTCTATTAAACACTGCCTGGCCCGGCTAGTTCCAGCCTCTTATTGGCTAGCTCTTACATATTAATCTAACCCATTTCTAATATTCTGTGTAGCACCACAAGCTGGCTTACCAGGGAGGATCTTAACCTTTGTCTGTCTGGAGTAAGAGAATCATGGCGACTCCTTGACTCAGCTTCTTTTTCCCAGCATTCTCTTCTGTTTACTCCACCTACCTAATGACCCAGGTTCAGTTCCCAACACCCACAATGTGCCCTCCAATTCCAGGGGATCCAATATCCTTTCCTGAATTCTGAGGGCACCAGACATGGATGTGATACACATGATGCATACAGGCAAAACACTTATATTCAAAAAATAAAATAAATCTTAAAAAAATTAAGGCAATTCCCCAGAGATATGCCTATAGGCCAACCCAATCTAGAAAAACCCCTCATTGAGACAGTTTTCCCAGCTGATTCTAGATTATGTCAAGTTGACAGTTAAGGTAGCCAGCATAGTATATATCTACAGTATATATCTAATGTGAAGCCTTGGCCAAAACGAAGGATCATGTACGTCCTGGGCCTATCCTAGTCTTGCTGTTGGATGCTGATCTTAGATTCCTATCCCATGCCAGTCTATGGTGTCCTGGAGCCAAACCATGATTGGGAAATCTCGATATTTTGTTGCCTATTAAGACTTGATTCAAGAGTTCTCGGTGGGGCTGCGCCTCCAGTTAGAGCTACACGTGTTCTTCATAACGACTACAGTGCTTTAGCTAGACTGGAACGATGATGCGCTCTTAATTTCTGCCCCTTATGTGATGTGCTTTATCTTCTCTGTCAGCAGAGAAAAAAAGAGACCCCTGGTGTTAATAGAAAAAAGGACACTAGTTAATAGTTAAAGGCCATTTGCTATTCTGTGTGCTGTGTTTTCACAGACCTCCTGGCTATGTAACAAATACAGTTTAGTACTTCCTTCTGTCTCCTCCTCTTCCTCCTCCTCCTTTCCTTCTTCCTCTTCTTCTTTTTTTTCTTTATGGGGGAGGTGTGTTTTGTTTTGTTTTGTTTTAAGACAGGATCTTTCTATCTAGTCCTGACTGGAGCTTACTCTTGTAGACCAGGCTGGCCTCCAACTCACAGAGACATACCTTCCTCTGCCTTCTGAGTGCTGGGATTAAAGATGTGCACCACCACACCTGCCCTAAGGTTTGCACTTAAGGACACGTTGAGGAGGCTACTCTGGTCTCCCTCTGACATCTCTCTCTCTCTATCCCTTGTATCCTAGCAGAAGTCATGTAGCCCCCAGCTCTCTGAGAGTTGTGGTCATTGGGCCTGCATCTGGCGCACATTAGACAAGGGTACTTCTGTCACCCATTCACATCTGGCCAGGAGCAACCTCCTGGAGTACGATAAGACATAAGCCCTGAGCTACAGGCTCTTTCAGAAGCTCACTCTCGTGTCTGTAAGTGGCGTTTGCTTCCAGCTGCTAAAATGTTCACCTTAGCAACGCTATGCTTAGCATAGAATGTGCTAGACACGTGTGTGCTCAATCTCTGAGGTCTTACTTGGTCTATTTAACGGCTTAAACCTCCATTTCATTTGAATGCAAAAGGTCACCCTTGTGGAGGTCCCTCCCATTCCAGAGGTGTGTGGAAGTCTTTGGTGAAACTCAGAAGGTCTGCAAGGCTGGTCTAGCCATCTTCCCTCTCCTCAGTTTCTCTAGCTCTGTCATCTTTTCACGAACCGCCCTTGTCAAAAGGCTCCTAGCCCCTCCAGACTGACGAACGTCAAGCTGCTGCTGTCGCTGGCCCTGCCTTGTGCTTGCCTGGGGCATGCATCCTCCCAGACCTCCCCACAGTGAGAGCAGCGAGACAGCTGCGGTCTCCGAGTTCCGGAGTAATAGAAGCTCAAAGTTAGAGAAAAATACTCAACGTTGGTATGGCTACAAAGCCCCCGGCTCAAATCCAGACCCGTCTTTAGGCATTCCCCTCCAGGCAGCTTCATAACCGCTTCCCAGCTGACTTCCTTCCTGTAGCAAAAGGATTTTCAGATCTGTCTTTCCTGCCCGGGATCCGGAGCCTGTGCAGCTGGCGAAAGAGAAGAAAACGCCAACCTTGCTCCTGTCTAGCGTCTTCTTACCTCGTGCTTATGTCGTGTTCCTTGTTTTGTTTGGCTTGGGGGATTGTTTGGGACAGCCTTGGACTAGCCCTGGCTGGGCTCGAATTCTACACACAGTGGGCTGACCTCAAACTTGCGGCAATCCTCCTGCCTCTGCCTCCCGAATCCT